CGTGTGAGTGTGCAAGGGCGGGCAACGGGTGTGCGAATGTGCCCGCACGCGTGAGCGGGCGTGCGCGGGCGAGAGCATGCAAGCGCGCGCACGTGCGAGTGTGCAAGCGTGTGTGTGTGCCCGCACCTGCACGTGTGCGAGTGTGCAAGCGTGTGTGCGCCTGTGCCTGCACACGTCGGAGTGTGCAAGCGTGTGTACACATGCGAGTGTGCAAGCATGTGTACGTGTGAGTGCGCAAGCCTGCGTGCACCCATGCCTCCGCATGTCTGAGTGTACGAGTGTGCCTCTGTGCGTGTGCACGCACATGTGAGTGTGCAAGTGCCTGTGTGCCTGTACATGTGTGTGCACATGAGAGTGTGTGTGTGCTTGTATGTGTGTGTGCAGGTGTGTGTGCACCCGTGAGTGTGCCTCTGTGTGTGCACACATGCCTGTATGCAGATGTGTGCTTCTGTGTGCACACGAGTGTGCATGTGTGTGTGTGCCTGTACCCATGTGTGCACTTGCACAAGCACTTTGCTGCAAGCCCCATGAGCACCCCCTTGCACCCAACCCCTTTGCCAAGTGCAACCCCTGGGAGTCCCAGATCTGCAAGCCTCGATCTCAAAAAAATCCGGGAGTCCCAGTGCTGAGCAAACCCCAGCACCCCGGGAATGGCACTGGACACCAACGACGGGAGAAGAAACCTCCATCAGTGGGCGTCCTCCTCTAGCATCACCCCGGTGCAAAACCCTGGGCCCAGTGCAATACCTTGCACACGGTGCAAAACCTCACATGTGGTGCAAGCCCCGCACCCAATGCAGTACCCTGCACCCGACGCAAAACCCTGTGCCTGGTGCGATACCCCACACACAGTGCAAAACCCCGAGCCTGGTGCAAAACCCCGAGCCTGGTGCAAAACCTTCACGCAGTGCAAAACTCTGCACCCGGTGCAATACCCCACGGCCAGCACAATACCCCAGCCATGGTGCAAAACCCTGCACGTGGTACAAAACCCTGCACATGGTGCAAACCCCTGTGGCCTGTGCAATACCCCAGACCCAGAGCAAAACCCCACTGCTGGTGCAAAACCCCGCACCCAACGCAACACCCTCCAAGGCGTAGGGCTGCACTGGAGCAACCTGAGCAACCCCTCTCCCACTTTTCCATGGTGCAATGAATTTTTGGGGTGCACGCAACTTAAAATCCGGAGGGAAAACCAGCCAGGCAGGGGTTTCTGGGGTGGATGTGCCGGCGTGCACGTCCGCCAGCTCCTCCCATCCCAGCGTCCCACCGCCAGGCCACAAAAGGTGATGCCGGGGGTCCCGCGCGGGGACGCGCCTGCAGCTCTTTGTCCACCCTCAGGCCCCAAAATTCCCCCCTTCCCCCCAAAACCGTTTTTAAAATATCATTCAAAACCATAAAAATCATTCCCAAAATTCCCTTCCCCCGCGTTACTTTTATCCCAATCCACATTTTTTGCTATAGCAAAACAATGCAAAAAAAAAAGAAAAAAAATGGGAAAAAAAAAAAAAGATCAGAAATGGGGTAAAAATCAAAAAAAAATCAAAGTCAACCATTCATTTTATCTTCCTAAAGCTGCAAAATTTTGCCTCAAATTTGGCCATTTCAGGCAAATCCTGGACTCTAAACTCCAAGTAATATAAAGTTTAGCAATCCCAAGCCCCTATTTAAATTTTTCTCCCCCTTTTTTTTGCTCATCCCAAATGGGAAACGGGCAAATTTTTTGCTGATTTGGCATTTTTATGGCAAGGGAGGGGAAAAAAAAAGGTGT